GATGCTCGATCAGCTTTGGTTGAGCTTGCAGGTCATAGCAAAGGCAGCTGGACCAGAAGTGGAATACACGTACGTGCAGGAGAACACATGCCACTCTCATTCCTCCCCACTACAAACGCTCAATGACCAGATTCCCATCATTGAGACCGCTTTATTTGGAACGGATCGCTCAATCACAGGATTTCTGGATCACGTCTGTCAGATTCTTTCACTTCTCGACTCGCGAAAAGTGCTTTTCCAGGACGTGCTTTTCCAAGAAGGGGAGGCTTGCACTTCTCGAAGGCTCAGCAGGTCGAAACGACGTTTGCAGGAAGGTCCTCTGCGCGCAGACTATGCGAGGACCTCAGAGCGGCCACTGTCGGAAGCCGTTCGACCGGCCACCGGTGGTGCTTCACGGCCCGGGCCGCATCGGTGCGCTGCTGGACTCGGCCAAGCGGCTCTTGCAGGTGATTGTGGTCCCACCCACTCCGGCCACAGAGTCTTTGGGTGGAGCTGAAGCCATTGGACAACGTGCCAAGAGCATCATTCAACTGGTGTCAGTCCAGCAGGCGGGGCAATTTGGTTCACACTTTCTCGAGAGCATAGTTCCAGATTTTGCAGGCCACTACCTGGCTGAATGAGGAGTTGCAGCGACATAGCTCCCTTCGGAACTTCACAGAACGGGTACCAAGTCACTGCGTGGTCTCCGGTCGTAGCGTTGCTCTCCAGATGGCGCAATGTACACCTCACACCTGAGTCCTCGGGGCTCAGTTGTGACATCGTGCTCCGTTGAAATTGGTCAAACCCGGGCGAGGTTGTTTTTTGGTCTTCGGTGGGAGTTTGAACTGCATATATACCATTGGTAGATGACATATGATGAAATAATGCTTGGATCATCAAGTACTTCCCTGCGCTCCGCTATAGATTCTTTTCGATCTAATTTGTCCTCTCCATGCGAGGCGTCCATCACGCACATTAGCTCCATCAGATTGCAGACGGTCGCAGACTCGGTGCGAAACGCAGTCGACAGCTTTTTAGTAACAATATCGCTTTATACCTTTAAACAAAAATTATACATTAACTATACAATATTATATACATATATAACATACCTGGACGACTGGCTGCGTCATGCGCAACCATCTGTGTATTCCAAGGCTTTCTAGTAACTAGAAGCTTCCTTGGGAATCGTTTTAGCAAATTTCGCAAGTCAAGGCGGTTCAGTTCAAAAAAGAATCATAACTTTTAAGATGGTTGAACTGAAAACAAAAACCATAATCAATCCCAATTCCTGCTTCAGTGCAATCCTCGTGTCTTGGTTTTATGTCGCAGGGTGCATGGTGCTTCCAGAGCTTCCATATGGCTCCACTTTATTAACGGCCAATCTCAGTTTGACAAGTAGGCCAAAATTAAGAATGTATACGACAGGTTTAAGTTTTAAGATAACCACAAAGACACACAAACAAACACACACACATTATGTGTGTGAACGCGCATGTCATGCTGCCACCAGGTTCAATATAAAAAGGGATGCCAACCGCGCCGAGCCAACCACTATCCAAACATCAAGTGTGTGAATCTGACGAACATCCACAGATTTATGTCTAGTCAAGATTCTGTCAATCGCCCTTGCTTTCCACACAAAGAAATCATAACTGCGGACAGTGCCCACCCAAAAGTTATGATTCTTAAACATGCTATAGTTTCCCCAAAAAAGAATCATAACTGGTGACACAGCCCACCTAAAAGTTTTGATTCCAAAACAGTGTTAAAAAAGAACCATAACTGGCAGCACTGGCTACCAAAAAGTTATGATTCCCAAAAAAGTTATAGTTCCAAAAAAAAGAATCATAACTGGCTTCACTGGCTACCAAAAAGTTATGATTCCAAAATATTCCAAGCAAAAAAGTTATGATTCCAAAAAAAGGTTATAGTTTCAAAAAAAGAACCATAACTTATGATTCTTTTTTTCCAAACAGATGCATAGCCTAAATCTAACAAAAAGCCTTCAACATCAATTGTGTTTGCTAGTTTTGAGCTATGTGTTTTAGTGAAAAACCTAGATTTACAGAGCCCCAAACTAGCAAACACCTTTGATTTTGAACGGTTTTTGATAGTTTTTGGCTATGTTTTTTTTTTTTGAAAAAATAATCATAAGTTATGGTTCCTTTTTTGGGAACTATAGCTTTGTTTTTTGAATCATAACTTTTTGGTAGCCAGTGCAGCGAGTTATGGTTCTTTTTTTTTGGAACTATAACTTTTTTTTTGGAATCATAACTTTTTGGTAGCCAGTGCAGCGAGTTATGGTTCTCTTTTTTTTGGAACTATAACGTTTTTTTGAATCATAACTTTTTGGTAGCCAGCGCTGCCAGGCATGGTTCTTTTTAGAATCGGAATATATACTAGCTTTTGCTTTGGAATTACAATCTTGTTTGTAGCCAGCGCTGCCAGTTATGGTTCCTTGTTTTTAACTATAGCATTTTTTGGAATGATAGCCGATGTTTTGCAATGGCAAGAAGCAAAATACTTCAGCCTCCAAGTGAAAGGCCTTGCCTTTCAAACCTTTGTTGTTTGCGTGGTGTAGAGCAAGATGCTTGAGAGAAGCGTTTGTCACCCAACAAAGCCACGGAGCTGATGATAGACTGAAGGCAGAAGTCGCTAGTCACAGGGGAAAAAAGAGACAAGCTGGCTCACACAGACTCACAGATGGCCGTGCGCCATGCGCAGTTTGTTGAGCCCAGGGTTTGCTTGATTGGTATGTATGTTTGCATTTTCCTGCAAGTTCCTAGTATTTGTACAATGTTTCCTGAGTCCAAACTTCTGGATTCACCTTGCTGGTATCTTTCTGCGGGATTGTAGGTTTTGTTTTTTGGTGTCTTTTCAAAAGACTTATAAATCTTTTTCAAACAAAACTTTGGCTATAAGCCCTGACCTGTGAAATTCTACAACAAATCGTTTCACCTGTAGTAACAAGAAGCTTTTTAGATGGTCGTCGGTGCCAAAGGGACGTGGGCCGCACTTCCTGAGGCCGTCGATCCCCTCATCATTCCCTCAGGTGGCTATGAACGTGTCATTGAGGCAGAGCAACAGGCCTGCAGCTGAGGGTCGATGATTATTGTGCTTTATTTGAGTCGATCTACAAGGGACGAATGGCACCCCGCATTGGGTCAAAACCTCTTCCATATTATTATAGAGAATCTGTAAAGATGTAAGTGGTTTTTGCAGGGGGAACATCCGTCAATTTGAAGCCAAGGTATATTTTTGGCTAGGGGAGCGAGGGTTCGACCGCAAAAAGCACAGGAAACCACGAAGGGACGAGGACCGAAACGCTATGGTTTCGCCCGAGGCGGATACGACGGCCGTGGCCTGAGAGGGTTGGAGTGTTTCAGATACAACATCCCAACAAAAGTCTTCGGCGTTCGGTTTGTTGGACGATTTCATGAACCCCAAATAGGGACCTCAATCGCGTGAAGACGTGTGAACAGTTGTTTGTTTGATAGATTTGATAGGCTGGTTTGGTGGCCTTGATTGCTTGTGCGGTGATGATCGTGTGCGCCGTGATTTTGGGCCAGAGACTCAAAGGGTCCTTCAACGAACATCCGCCGCTTCGAGGGCCTCGACCCCACCAGTGCAAGCCACGCGAGCTCTGAAAACGGAGCGTTGTCGCAAGTGAGGTGCTTGGCAGCTCTTGAAACGTCAACGGCAGCTGGTTTCAGCCAGAGCTCAGAGAGATTCCACGAGTCATCACGAGTCCCAATCTCCTGTTCTGGACTTCCATAAACTTCCTCAACGAACGGGCGAATCAACAGCCAGTCCAGCTGTTTATGTAGAGAATCCACGCGTGCTTCGGCTTTGGAAGAGCTTCGGAACACGATCGGACACCGGCAACGATGACTTGAGGTCAATGAAGGAGGACACGATGACTTGGACGACTCCAATCATCTCAGTCCCCTCACTCCAATGACACCAGTGGAAAGGCCGGTGGACAAGCTGCTTTTCTTCTGGATACATTCCACCTTTGCTAGGCAGTCACGAGCGCATGAAACAGCTTGATAACAACCAAAGTGATGAAATGCAACACCATTTCCACAAGATGCATTCTTGTGGCAACAACTTGCTGCCTTTAGCTTACTTTGGCCCAGCAAGCTGCCGTCCTTGTTCTCACTGCCGCAGGCTCACAGGTCTACCAAAGAGCTCGTTGAATCCGCAGGAAGACCTTCCTGAGTTCGCGGAGCTTGAAGCTTTCAACAACGAGGACGTAGATCCAACTTGTTTCAGCGCACCCTGTGCTGAATGCTCCAAGTGCTCCAAGAGTGCCGATTGCTGCATAGGCCCTCAAGTCTAATCACATGTGCAATGTAAAGCTTTGATGTCGGCACACCATGTGCGACTTTTGATCCGTAGATTCGCAAAATGCGCTGCATGTTCCATTCTCTTGACATTGCAAAGCAATGCTCATTCTTGTACATTTTCTCCTCACGTTGCCTTCACATGGCAGCTTCAGCTAATGATCCAAAGGATGCTGTCCGAAGGATTGCAATCATTGAGGATTTGCTAATGTGCGCACTTCCGTCAGGAAGCTTGCCATACCGCTATGCCCAAAAGAAGATGAAACATTTTGTGACTCCGACCATGACCATCCTTGAACCATGACCTGCAAAATAAGGCTTGACACTGCCCAAACGAATCCACCGTTGCATATTGCGCAGCTTGCTGATGAAAAGCGCAGCTTGAAACGACAAGCAAAAAGGGTGCCAATGTAGTGGAGGGCCGACTGAAGGACAGCCCACTGAACCCACTTTCCTGGAACAGTTCTTTCTAGACCAGCTGAAGGTCACTGGTTTTTGCCGCCGTTTTCCCCCTGACTATCTATAATGCTGTAGTGTAAGGTTGAATGAACTCCAAGCCTGAAAGCTTTAGCGTTGTTGACATGCCGGGGGCTGTTTTCCACACTTTTGTCATGACTCGCTCACTTGCTCGGCATGCAGCCTTTGCGCGCAGTGCACCAGGCAGGGTGAGTCATGCCAGCGACAGCGACGTGCGCGCAGTGCGAGTTCGGGCAACTTGAGCTCTCAGCTTCAGGTGAGTCATGCCAATCCTACTTGGCAGCAGGCAGAGCGGAAGTGTTCACTCCATCCACGAGCGATCACCGCACCAAGCTCGTTGAAACAAAAAGGGAAGGTAACATCTCGTGCAAACTCGCTGCAAGTGGCAGGATCTTCAGAAGTTGCAGGTGTTGCAACAGTCTGCAGTGGAGGCAGAGATTCATCTCAAAACTTGCAGATCTAGACTTTGGCATGCCACTTCCGGAAGGATTCCAGAATTGCCCCGTAGTCAGCAGCATTCTTAACTGTGTCTACTTTGGGAGCTCTGGCAATTCACCTATATGCCGTGTCTTGTTCTCACACAGTCATAGGCCCTAATCAGCACCTTTTTGCACCGCCCCTCATACCATTATATCATTATCGCATTGCTCATCTAGCCTTTCGTATTGAGAATCCGGTTGGCAGTTTGTCAGAGACTGAGCGGCTGCATAAGTAGGCATGTGAGTTTTCTTTAAATCCCAAATGCTGTCTGGGTGGACGGTCTAATGCGGAACATACGTAGTTGGACGTGCGTAATGACTCAGAGGAATGACTCAAAGAAGCCCAGATCTCAAGAGTTTGCCGGGAACGAACGACAGAGGCAGACGTCACCCTAGCGGCTAATGCCGCTCTTCGATCAGCTCACTGGGCCAAAGGCTCAGACGAGTGATGAGCCAAAAGAATCCAAAAGATAGGTTTGCAAGTCACCTATACAGAAGTCATCCTTAGAGAAAGGATCTAGAGCTATATGTGGCCATATGTAGTCATCTATAGTTAGTCAGAAAACAACCTGACGCGATCCAGCCAAGCTAATATCATCTAATATCTATTTCACATGCATCATCGGAGGTTTCTTAAGCTACTGTGTGCAGAGAGCCTGCTCTCAGGCTTCCGCTGTCTTCTTGTTGGATAGCTTTGCCACGCTGGCACTTGAGGTCACACAGGCTCCTGCATGTTTGGACCACTGCATTTTCTCTCAAGATCTTTCAAGTAGATTGCTTGACTTGCTGATAGTTCACAATGGCAGGTAGTATCTGGCTGTGCATTGACAGCAGTGGCCAGGTGCGGAAAATAAGGGAAAAAGGCTCCGGTTTGAATTCGAGCATTGTTGGTCTCTGGAACGATGTAATCTTCAAACAAGATAGTACAGGAACATTCGCGATGGTGCACTGAAATGCACATGCCATCACATGCCTATATTGCAGAAACAAGAGCACACGTCGTTCTTGGAAGGGTGCTTGTGGACAGGAGCCTCCCACATTGGGCAACTTGCTTGACCCTCTTGCAGGCCAGGACCTGGCCAGCACCAGAGCAGATTCTTGTGCTTCTTGTGAGCAGATTTCCCTGACTCGAGCACTGGCCAGCCTCATTTCGTTCCACTCTTAGTGCCTTCAATCTGCAGAGTGAAGAAAGCGAGAGCATTCCCGACACAAGGCACAATATTGTCATTGCAATGTGCGGCAAGACGCTTTGCTGGAACAGGCAGATGTTAGTATTAGAGCCCAAAAAGGATCTATAAAACTTAGACGTTGATAGCAACAACTGGAAGGTCACTGTCCCTCACAGCCTCACTAACGCGGAGCCGGTTGCGGCCAACGGCCTCAACGATAGGAGGTTTGTTGACGGCATTCGTGCACCCGGCGCTTGACGCTTTCCTGTGGGGCTGGCTATGATAGTTGGGGCTTGCCAGGAGAGGGGAGGTTATTGGGCCGGATCCTTGGAAGAGGGAGACGGTAGCGGTGGCAGCCTTTTGATTGGTCTTCAGCTTCGACCTCATGAGGTTGCAGCTTTGTCAAAACTGAGTTTGACTCGCGAGCAGCCTGCTTGGCTGTATGGAGCGAAGGCAGAACACACGAAGTCTTTCAGTTGCAAAGACAATCTCAAGATTGAGAGACAGTCTGCTCTTACGGGCCTGTGTTCTGAAGGGTGGAGAGGTGTCAGTCACCTGGAATGAAGCAGCCTCAGACCTTCGAAATGAAGACATTGACAGTTTTGTCAGAATGAACGACCTGAACCATCGTCCTGGCCACGAGCATGTTCCCCCAAGCCAGGCAGGAGTGGCTGCATGTGCTTCTTCTGCTGCGTGGGAATGGGCCGGGAACTGAGGGAGCACGTGTCTGAACGATCGACTGAACTCATCGAGCCAAGGCTGCAAAGCTGGTGCGAGGCGAGCCGTGGAGAGGCCGAACGGGTTCCTGGAGCGGGCGAACGGTGTGTTTGTGAACCTCTTGGTGCAGGTGTGTCAACGAAGGCTGTGGGCACAGCAGGAGTGGCCCGTGTACTTCTGTGTCAACTGGATTTCAGAACTTCCTGTCTTCAGCAATCGCTTGAGATTTGCCTCTTGTACCTTGTGCATTTGTGCTTCTAGGCTACAATGCAGCCATGGCTGCGTGTGGAAACTGGGCCCTGCACCCAGAAAGGCCCAGTGCAACATGTTGGGTAAACGAGGGAACATGCACAGGGCTAGAAAAGCATGCGTTTTACATGGTTTTTGGCCCTTTCATGAACTCCAAGACGTTGACCTGAGTGGATTTTCAAGACACTCAAATAAGACCAGGACAGTGTCTCCCGCTTTTTACCTTTCGGGAGAAAACATCAATGTGGGCATCCAAAAAAAAGGGGTCAGCCGCGAAAAAATCCCTCAGATGCTGATTGGGGAAAGGGCACTTCAAACCGGACAAAAGCAACAAAAGAACTAACGACAAATGCAAACAAACCTCAAACGTGGAGCCCGCCATGTCCTCTAAGCCGAAAGTGCAATGCGAGTGTCGAGTCACGAAGTCGAAAGCGCAACATGAATGTCGATTTACGCGAGTAGAACTACGAACGAAACGTCACGAAGCCGAAAGCGCAACGTGAATGTCGATTTACGCGAATAGTAACACGAACGATGCTGTCCCCAGCCCTCCCCGAAAACCATGTTGGGTCGTCGGGAAGGTGTGCTTTCGGGGCAACCCCCCCGGTTGTCCCAACATGTTGAAAGGCGAAAGCATAAGACAGGAGGTTGATAAAATGTCTATAATTTGTTGGAGAAGTGCCGTTTGACAGGAGACACAAGAATCTCTAAAAGAGACTGGAGATATCTGGAGAGAGATTCTAGTCTGCATAAGTTAAGGTGGTTGCTATGGAGCTTCTTCGGCAACTCTTGCGCAGTGGTGGCAGACCAAGGCCAAGATGTCTTGAAGATTCTCAGGTTTTTCAACTGAGGAGGATTTTATCACACTGAGGCTCCCAGGCAGACACTGCGAGTGTATGCACGACAATAGGTGCAAATCTTGAGGAATTGCTTGTCGACTTCTTCTTTTTGTGACTTTGGCTGTGATCCATGACCGGCGCTCTCGTTTGGGTCAAACTAGAACCCCCTTCAGATGGCCAACTCCCACTCCGGGCGGACGAGCTGGTGAGCGGATCCGTCGTGCTGGTGGATGATTGATCAAGTCTGTCGTCTTGATTTGGATCACAGGCGGGGCTTGGAGCCCAAGGAGCAGCGAAAGAAACAAAGACATCTGGATGGCAACGGTGGCTTCGCCGCCAGATGCTGGCCGTGTCAAGAAGCCGAAGCTGGAAGAGACCCTTGTGAAACTGGAGGGAAAGAAGCTTCGTGCGGGCACTGTACCATGGCGATATGTGGGTCAGTCAGAGATTGAGGTGTTCTTGATTGAAGGTCTCAATACTCCTGGATTTTGGACATTTCCTGCTGGATCACTCGATCCCGGGGAGGAAGTCTCTCGCTGTGCCAGCCGTGAAACCTTTGAAGAGTGTGGAGCACGAGGAAATCTCGGTTGCTTCCTGGGTGTGTTTGAAGAGAAGAATCGAACCTACCTTTTTGCCATGGAAGTCACCTCTGTGGATGATGCAGGGAACGACATTTGGCACGACCCACATTCATCCTATGAAGGTAGTGGCGACAGGCGTCGGGGTTGGTTTAGTCCTGAATCTGCCTGGTCACGCTTAAAGAAAGATGGCCCTGCCATGCTGGAGACATTCTTGGCCGTTCCCGTTCACCAACGTCGGAATCTGCGCCGCCCGCGAGAAATCAGGTCGAAAGTCCAGCTTTGCATTCTAGGTGTCGGTGAATCTGTGAACCTCGTGAGGAAGCATTGCTCCCAGAAAATGGACGTGGAAATTCTTCCGGCCAGTGTTGCCCTCACAGCCTCAAGCTGCTCTGAAGCCCAGAAGTTCGCCATTGTAGCTGCCACCCTGTGGGAGGCTCACGCGGTGGTTTGCGTGGGTGGCAAAGAGATCCTCTATGCCCTGGCAATGGCTTCGAGCAGCAATTGCGCAACTTTGTTTGTAGCCACAGAACCATTGAACCACCCCTGGATGCTTGAAGGAGACTCTCGGGTGGTTTCCACACATTTGCTTTCTGCAGGTTCTTGGCTCTTGGTCCAAATCAATCTTTTGCGTTTCTTTGAACTTCACTGAGTCAAAATCCATGGAGAGGAATACCGCAGAAGATATTTTTGTTCTTTGGACGGAGGCAAAGTATATACAGTATAATATATATATATAGCCAAAACTGAACCAATCTTGACAACTTGACGGCACAACACAAAAAGCAGCTTGTTCCATACTTTCAGTTTGTGCCATGAGGCTTGCAGGAGGAGGAGAAGGCGGACACATGCAGCCTAAGACCCAGTCCCAAGTAGCTATTTTGCTTGTGTTCAAAGGACTTGGACCTTGGACATTCGGACAGTTATTTGAATCCGTTGATGACTTTCCAAAATCAAGGTTTGATTGATGACTTCCTGGAGAAGGTCAAAGCCGAAGCAAAAACTCTTTGAAAGTTCTTTGCCTGGGTTCTTAGCCTGGAGCAGAAGAAGCGCGATAGGCCTTCGATGCTTTATTGGCATGTCATAAACATGCCAAGGACATGCAAGCTGCCAAACACAGGCTACTTGCACTGTCGGACTGCTCGGAAAACACGTGCAAGTTAAAGGCTAGCATGTGGGGCAGAGCCAAGATGAAGTGCATCGCTACTAGTAACAAGTGCCTTACTAGTAGTAACAAGAAGCTATTAGGAACAAGTAAGCTTACTTGTTCCTAATAGCTTCTTGTTACTACTAGTAAGGCACTTGTTACTAGTAGCGATGCACTTGTTCCTAGTAGCTTATATAAATATGACGACGAGAAGTCACAGGCGTCAAGAACTGCTTCATGTCTTCAGCGTCAGGTGCTTGCGCCACTGGCCTGGCTTGGTTCGCTTGCCTTCAACTCATTGCCGGCGCATCATCTTTTGCGGTGGCGGCTGACAGAGTTGGATACAATGCTGCAATGAAAGCTTGTGGCGATCGCGGTTTGTGGTGGTGGTCGTCGTGGCTTTTGGAAGAAGTGAAGATCAGCGAGAACTCGGCCCGCACAACATGTGCAGGCATCTCTGCAGCTGGTGCTGAGGGAGCGTGGGAAGTGTCAATGACATTGATGTCTGAAGCAGCACTCGCCTTGGTGGAGTTTGATGTGGCTGTTTACAATGCTGCCCTCAGTGTGCTGGCAGGCCGGTTATTGCATAGGCAAAAATCATTCAACTGGCAGGCTCAAAAGAAGGGACCCCGGTTGACCCTGAAGATGAACAGATTCCTCTATGTTCGGGATGTCAACTGAACCCATGGTTTGTTGGGAGAGGTTTTTACCCACAGCCTGTTTGTGGGGTAATGTTTTGGGCGTCAGCTGAGATTCACAGGCAATGATCGGTGGCAGGCGACGCTGCAACTTCGACAGCGTCTCCAAGCAGCTGGACTGAAAGAAACAGCTGGCACTGTGAATCCAGTGGCAGTGGCAGCCGGCAGAGGGAGCAGTTGGGCAAGTGCTGTGACAGCTTTGGAGGAGCTTGCACATTGATACAAATTACAATGCCGGTCTCTCGTATATTGAGTGTGTATTTTCTACCTCTGAAACCCGTGCGATCCTATCCCAACCTTTCTTTTCTATCCTGTAAAGCTTTTCATCCTCCCCTCCTACCCGAAGGAGGAGCATTGCCAAGATGCTGCTGCTTTGGGGGCTGCAATCACGGCTTCTGCTCAAGGGAGCCAGTGGATCAGGTGCTTGGCTGTTTGTATTTGTGTGTGTGTGTGTGTCAGTTAACTCCCGTCTCTAGGGACACTACGTTATTTTACTGTACAAAGCTCCGCAGGGGGGCAATGGACCACTATCACTCACTGCCCAACGAAGACAGTGATAGTTTGGTCGTGATATCCAGAAGGGACGCTATCTGGACGTACCTGCAAGGATTTTAAATACATTATTCACGTTTCACCCTTGTTTAAACAATACTGTTGTTGCGGACTTATTAACCTTTCGGTTCACCAGCCAAGGTCTAACCTGCAGGAAAAGTAAAGGGCTAATGCACACCCCGAACCTCTGAATTTTGGGTCTTCCGAGCTCTTTTCTGAAGTATGTGTCGCAGCAGGGGCGCCGTTACTGAGCTCTTACTCCTACATAGACATAGGAGAGGACTTCCTGAGTTTCCTTTTTGGACAAACTTACGACGCAGACTCTCTTGCTCGAATCAAATCTTTGAATGTGTCTCACCCTCCAAGCTTTGAACTTATGCTGCAATTTACTGTCACATCTCTACGGAGTTCCTTTCATCCAGAGTACTTCAATCTGAATGCACCCAGATTTTTGCAGTCACCTTCCAGATATTCCTCTTCTCTACTTTTCTTCTCGGTCCTAGAGGCTTGTGAGGCCGTAGCTCAGGCTTTTGCAGTCATTTTTCTCTCCTTCCAGATGCGTTTCTCTCAATTTGCCGTTCATTCGGAACCACTGCTCGGAAGACACCCAGTTTTTTTGCAGTCAACTTTCTCGCTTGTTAGGTGCCTTCATTCGGCACTACTGTTCGGAAGACGCCCAGTTTTTTTTTCCAGTCTTTTCTCTCCTTCCAGATGCGTTTATTTTCTGTTTTTCTCTTTTCTTAGAGGCTTGTTAGGCCGTAAATCAGTGTTCTGCGGTCATTTTCTCTCCTTCCAGATGCGTTTCTCTTCTCTGCTGGTTTTCTCTTTGTAGAAACTTGTTAAGTTGCTAAGGTCTCTTGCACGCATCTAAAGTTTTTTATCTCCATTTTTTCGATTTTCTTCGGTTTTTCCTCTGCTCGTTTTCCTCTCTTTCTCTTTTCTAAGGCTTGTTAGGTGGCTATTCAGGTTTCGTCGACCTTACCCTAATTAGTCTAGTTGCGCCGAAGTCGGCTGTGTGTGTGTGTGTTAGTTAACACCTGTCTCTAGGGACGCTACTTTATTTACTGTACATAGCTCCGCAGGGGGGTAGTGGACCGTTATCACTCACTGCCCAACGAGACGCTGTTCGGACGTACCTGTTTTTACGTGTGACCATTGTTCAAACAATACTGCTGTTGCGGACTTATTCACCGTTCGGTTCACCAGCCAGGGTCCAATCTGTGATAAAAGTAAAGCGCTCGTGCACACAGCGCACCTCTGAATGTGTGCTTTTCCGAGCTCTTTTCTGAAGTGTGTGGGGATGGTCAGAGGGCGCTGCTTTGTTCAAGAGAAAAGCTGCATCCTCCGAATGTTTTCAGGTGCCTCCATCTTCTGTCACTGCCGATGCTTCAGAGTGAGTCTGCTTTAGCAACCTACAATGCCCAAGCCTTACACTGCGACAATAGTTACACAGAGAGAAAGAGTGCGAGCGGGGCAGACCTGAGCATGAGCATGTGACACATGTGAGATGCGAGGCATTGATCACAGTTCTGGGAGAGCAGGCCCTTCATGACAAGGCAGAGACGTCCTTTCCATACCCTTCCCATCCGCTGATTCGTTCAGCTCCGCCGTCCCAGCCAACCCTACCCTAATTCCAGACCATGCAGCTGCTGGGAGAAGCTGTGAAGCTGACACTCAGGCAGGTTTGGCCGTTTGGGCAAAGCGCTGTTCTTTGTTGTGTCCCCCGTTGTGCAGGCCAAGCATCGTCACCTTCAATGCAGTCAGGAAGCTTAGTGACTTTGACCAATTCAGGTTTCAGGTTTAACCTTCATTTCTCAAAGGCTATGGACGTCACTTCTGCCAGCGGTTGGCTTGGAGCCGTTGCCTTGCTTGAGGCTTGTGCGGATGCTGGGGAAATTACAACATGGCGACATGACATGAGATCATGCGGCATGCCCTGTTATCGTTTTCTTTCCATGCAGCTCTTTACTGCAGCAACTTGGTGAACCTTGGGATATTCAGACAACTGAGAACTGTGTACATCTGACTGCATGTCATTCCTCAACCAGACCATGAAAGACGGACATACCGAATGGAGCAATAAAACCAAACATGCATCATCTATGTATCTACATGTATATTAATATATATATATATATTATTATCTCTCAAAGGACGCTGCTGTCCTTTTCTGCTTTGAACAAAGGGCTTCGGTATGTGCTGACCATATGTTATGGTTTCAACTGCAAGCGAAAACGAAATCGGCTGCATGCTCTCCCCTCGCGATTCTATCGTGCAAGGTGCAGCCGGGTCAGGGTTCTCGGATGCTGGAGGTGTGTCACAAAAGAAGGTTTCAAAAATGCATCTTCTGTTCACCGGCCTAAGACGACATTCCCACACTGTGCGAGGCCAAAAGAACAAAAGGCTAAGCACACTTCCCTCTCACTGCGAACACCCCCATGTCATTCGGAGTCTCGACTCAGCACGTGTGGACCTTGGAGCTGGCCATAGCAAAGAAGAGGCTAACTCCGGTCCAGCTTTGCTTCAAGTAGCCCATTGAGCGATTTCCTCGGCGGTTGTCCACCCTGGCAAAAACACGGCCGTCGTCCAGCTTGCCTAGGGAAACCACACCCGCCGTGATCCCGTCACTGGAAGGCGGAGCACCCACCTGTGCGTCGTAGAGCTTCTTCCGCCACTCACCGTGCTTAAACACAATGATGTTGAGGGTGCCCTGCTGAACCTCCACCTGCAACGTAGTTGGTGACCTCTGGCTAGGGCTTTCAAGCTCGTCAATGAGTGAATCTGGGAACATCCAACGAAAGCCAGCCAATTCCCCATCTCTCAGCCGTCGAACGAAGCGCGGCAAGTGCTCGCCCTCCCTAGCGAAGAAAACTCCATCAAAGAAGACAATTGCGGTGAGCTTCCATTGATTCAATCTGATCTTCTCGGCCTGTGGAGAGCCGTCGAAGAGATGCCCCCTCCATTTCTGAGCTCACGGCCTGGGAGTGCGAAGATGAAGACAATGGCACCGAACCCAGTCCAGTGCTCCCAAAGCCACCAGCTCCTCTTGCAGTGGCCGACAGCGAAGAAGAGGCCTCTAACTCACCCGTTCAATCTTTTCCAAGATGAGCTGGCCCACCCTGTCACCCACGTTCACCTCAAACGGTTCGGCACCATTATTGACCAGGATGACCTTGACCTCTCCCCTGAAGTCTGCGTCCACCACACCACCGGCGACATCAACCCCTCTCAATGCCATCGAGCTTCGAGGAGCAATCCTTCCATAGCACCCAGGAGGGACCTCTAATGACAAGCCGAGCGGCGCCAAGTGGCGTTCTCCTGGTTGAAGAGTCACCTGCACGGATCTTCTTCAACTTCTCCCCTGGTCTCCTTTGTCCCATGCGTTTCCGCGGCTTGTGCTCCTGGAAGCATAGCTGCGCCCACCGCTAGCAGAGACAATGCTTTGAGGGCCTTGGAGTTCTCAATGATCTCGACACAATGACTGTCCCCCTTTTTCTCAAGGTCCTTCGTCACCAGCTCCAAAGCGCCCAACCATACTCCTTGACAAAATCGATCAAGTTGCTGAGCAGGGAGCGGCTTAGTGAGACCATCAGCCCACAACGAAGTGCCAGCACGATGATTCAAGGTGATCTCACCTTCTTTCAAGGCTTCAGCGAGACAGCTTGCGCGAATCCTGAGATGACGGGTCCTCCATCCGCTACCTGATCCAGAGGCCAGAATCACTGCAGCTCTGTTATCGTTGTAGATCTCGAGGTTCACCTTTTGAATGAGGAGCTGGATCAACGCTCGCACCGAACGGCCAGTCTGGAGACCTTCAACAATGGCTGTCAACTCAGCCTCTGCAGTGGAAAGCGCCATCAGAGTTTGCTTCTTTGACTCCCACTGCACTGGGCACCCCGCCAAGAGGATGATAGCGCCGGACACACTGTGGCTGTCACCTGGAGAAAAAGAGGCATCCACCAAGACTTCGATGGTACCTGCATGACGAGGTTGCCCTCTTCGAAGATCCGGACTCATGTCCTCCGGCACCCCATTGGTGTAGTGGAGCCCAAAGTTCAACGTGTGCCTCACATAGGCCAAAACAGCCTTTCCTAATTCGATCGTCCAGCATGGTCTCTTGACTGCATTCTGGGCCATCTTCATCACCGCCCAAGCCAGATCTGGACGAAGCAGTTCTCCCGTAATTTTTTGGGCCTCTCTCACCTTCGGCAGCGACACCGCCTCCTCTTGCTCGGACTCCTCAGGGACCTTGACGAACTGTGTGGTTGAAGTACCTGGGTGTCTGTCAATGATCTCCCAAGCATAGCACTCTTGGTGGAGAAAGTAGGAGCCATCCTCCCGGCGTTGGATCTCAATGCCCAAAAACCTCATTGACCCACCTCCCATGACAGCATACTCAGGCGCCGATGTCGACCATCGATTCTGGATTGTCGCTGAGGCTGCATCGGTGACAGACCTGGCTCCAACCATGAGGATGTCATCCACATACACAATCCGTAGTGATTCCGGAATGGCTTTGAGCAATGCCACTGACCCCCGCTGTTCAATGCGAAGCCATGGCGGCAGGCGGAGCAACTGGCACCAGCCTCAAACGCTCCATCGGCTCAGAGTTCAACCAGACACGATACAAGGCGCCTGCCACGTTGAGAACTTCATCCCACCACATAGAGGAGCTCGAACTCATATCCCGCAAGAACGGCCCCACTGTGGTCAACCAATCGCCGGCAATCAAAGGTCCAATCTCCGACTCCGACAACTCAGGCAATGCGGGAAGATCCACAGCCCTCACCGACTCCTGTTGTGCCATGAGCCCTCCCAGCCATGCAGGAACGCCAGCATATGGAACACCTGGATCACCACCACCTGGAGGGCCTGGAAAGCCACCACCACCAGGAAATCCACCTGCCCCGAGGTCCTCCTCCATCTGGAAAACCACCGCCGCCTGGATGGCCTGGATGGCCAGGGAAGCCTCCACCTCCAGGAAAGCCGCCTCGCCCAGGTCCTGGAAGTCCTCCTCCACCTGGAAAACCACCGCCGCCTGGATGGCCTGGATGGCCAGGAAAGCCGCCCCCTCCACCCCCGCCGTGAAGACCGCCGCCTGGTACTCCTCCTTGAAGTCCCCCCAGGTCGCCATAGATCCCTTGCCCTTGAGCTCCCCAAGCAGGAGGTCCTCGTGGAACACCATCACCTCCTTGACCTGCCGAAGGAACCCCATTGTCCGTCTTCGTGGACCCCCTCACGGACTGGTCCCTTTCACTTGTGGCTTCACCAGGGCCACACATCGACTTTCCATGATCTTGTCCCGAATCACCTGGAACCGCAGCGGTGCCACCCTTGAGACCCCCCGCCTCATAGTAACCTGGCCCAGCTCCCAACGTCGATGAGACTTCCTTAGCCACCACCCCAGAGCCAGTCTTTGTGAGCGCCCGAGACATGTCCATCACACCTGGGAGCAGCGATTGCATGACACCACCTGCCACTGCCGAAGACACCCGGTTGAACACTTCCATCAAACTCGTCTTCGGACCCCCCTGATGAGGAGAGGAAGCACCATATCCACCATGAAAAGCTTGCCCTCCCCCACCAGAACCACCATTCGCGAGAGGTTTAAGGAGTCCTCCATTCATGGGCATGCCAGGTGTCCCTGAGGGCATTCTCATGGATCCCCACATAGACCCCCAAGACGATCTCTCTCGAGCAACACCGTCCGGCATCATCCATGGTGGACCTTGAGGCCAAGAACCTGCAGGTGGACCCCAACTTTCTCTCTCCGTCCAGAGGCGAGCATTTTCATTGATCAAGCCCTGGAGGATTGCCTTGAAAGCTTCTGCCCCTTCACAAGGCGGACTCGCTGAGGGAGTTTCACCTGGCACAAGCTTCAGAAGGAAGGTCTATCGGCCTAATGGCCCGTAAAATCGCTTCATCCCTCATCCCTTCACTCCAGAAAGGATTCCAGTTGGCGGGACCCAGGACTGTCGGAGGTCCCTGCGGGCGTGCGATGACCCCTGCCGAAGGTGGGACATCTTCTATGGCTTTCACGCCACCACTTTCAGGAGTTCGCTCCAGCGAGGCATCATCGCTCATGGCGAACACTCCAACCTGAAAAACACGAGAACCCTCACCACGTGGGCGTGGTTGGGCTCATAACCCTCTCAAAGGACGCTGCTGTCCTTTTCTGCTTTGAACAAAGGGCTTCGGTATGTGCTGACCATATGTTATGGTTTCAACTGCAAGCGAAAACGAAATCGGCTGCATGCTATTATAATATATATATATACAGTCCTTCCACAGAATAATGTGTTATATAGGCTTTTGCAGCTGCATCGATTTCCTCCATCCCAAGAGGCTCGGCTCGCCGGAATCAACCGCTCGCTCACCAGGCACTCCGATCCCAGACCTTGGAGTCGGATGCATTCACGTGTGGTTCCCCGGACGGCCGGATGCACCACGGAACGTGAGGTCCGCCCGAAGGCACCGGCGCCCGGTTGTTCTTGGTGTTTGCCCAGCTGTAGGTGTAGTTTGTCTCCTTCAGCAAAGGTATTACTATGCCATCGGCGCATGTGAGGGGAGCCAAGGCCTTAGACAAAGAGGTTGGTTGGTTGTCGATGACAGAAAGTCACCGGGAGCACGCAATGATACGGCACAAAAAGAGCGTTCAGCAAGTTGAGCAAGGAATTTTTCTCAGGCTCTGCAGCAGCACCGTTCGGAAGATCTTTGGTGGCAGAGGTGACCGATTTTTGTTGTCCACTATCACCGTCAGTACGTGCATGGTCCCAAATGGTGTCCCTTGCCCCTTGTTGCCAGTCTTGCCTGTATCATGACAGAGCGAAATTTGCTGGCATTGTTTGCCCTGCTTGCACTGTTCGCAGCATTCAGCTCATTTGTTCAGCTGCAAGTCGTCAAGTCAAGAGGGTCAGGACCTTATGACTGACTTTCAGCGATCTCACTCCGACGAAAGGACCGACGAAGTCTCCGATCTCCGGTTGAGGTTGGAGAAGGAATGCATGTCGATTCCGGACGGGTGCACCTAAGGATCGAGCGGTGTTTTGATGGTCGGACGTGTGTCAAAAGCCATTCGGCCCGACGCACAGGAAACCAGAGCCGGGGCGTAAGCGACATGAGCCAGGACGGCTTCCAGTAGGTCATCAGTCATCAGGTTCATTTGAATCGAATCTGCTAAGATCTGATCTTTGGGAGTGCTATGCTTTTATGGGAAACGTCAAATAGTGAATGGTTATCTTTTTTTGCCATTTGCATAAGCTCACTAGTGAGCGTGCCAGGAACTCTTTGCTTCAAGCACTTTGCAAGCCGCGGACTATTGGCCTCAACCGTCTCAGTTCCAAGGCACTGTGTTGCAAACGTGTGCAGACGTTTTCGCGGCTTCAGATCTCTAGCCTCCGACCATGATATATAGAGCACATGGTTCTGAGGCAATGGCTTGCCATGCTTCTGGACCAGTGCCTGACACTTGGAGTATGACAGACCATAGTACTGTAATGTACTGTAGGTTGTCAGATCACAGTGTTGTTTCTGGACGAGTCACATTTCTATTCCATTCTAATTCTATTTCTATCTTCAAAGAGACAGTCTTTGTTCTGTTTCGTTCTGTGTTTCCATGGAAACCTCTGGCTCACCCGGGCCGAGTTGCGAGCGTTGCGGTGCTGCTGAACCTCATGGCCAGCCCTGATACCATCATCGTGAACTTCACGGAATAGTCCTCAGAACGGAGTGGGCCAGTCAGAGTGGACTTGGGCACCGCCACTAGTGGACCAACAACGACAGGTCGGTGAGCGACCTCGTAAGATGTTTCGCCAAACCGAAGTCGGACTGTTCGACAGCACCAAAGTCTCTGCGACTTTCTGCGAATTGACCGTCAAAGAATACACAACATGAGGCCGTGCTGAGTGTGTTGTGCTTCGTCCACTATTTGCCAAACTTGCACATGAACTTGACGCCACGCCCTTAGTAAAGCCATTTAGAACCGCGTGAGTTGAAGATAGTTCAAAGAGAATGGGGCGGATTCCAACTGGTCCCGATCTTTTCCCTGCAGGTGGACAGCAGTAAGCTTTTCCCTGGTCTTCCCACTCCAAACGGCTATCAGGCCAGACACATTTCGATTTGTGACAATGAACGCTCTTCGCCTGTGATTCGGCCTTCTCTTGTGCAAGGGAAGCGTTCAAACGGCGAGAGGTGCAAGAGAGTGGCTTTTGTTGTCATTGTGTCTTCCCGGACAGTCCATTGTAATTAAGTACCTTAACGCACTTCTCTAAGTCGATATTGTATATATATATATAATAGAGAGAGAGAGAGACCGAAAAAGGTAGAAACGGTTTCTCCTTTGCCAGGTTGTGGTCACATTTGAGTTTTCAGGTGGTCTCATTCCACAGCTGATTAACTTCCCTGAACCTCAGGGCACCTTTTTTCGACAGAATACGTCAGGCTGCTCTGATGGCACTGGCGGAGTTTCGTGCCACAGCGTCACATGACCCAGCGAAGCAGGGGTAGGGTAGATCATTGATCAGCTGTCAATGTGATTTGTCATTCTCAACACTGCTGTTGTTGATGGTCACTTGTGGCTACTCACCAAACTTGGAGACCAGATCATTAATGGACACACAGTCATGCGCGAGCTTCCATGAGCTTCCATGGGCTTTCGGGCTTCCATGAGCTTTGCTGAGGACAAACGTCTTTTTGGCCAATCAGGTTTGGGATTGGCCTGGAGTGCAAGCCTTTGAGCCCAACATGTTCTTAGTGTAAGCTCTCATACGCTTGCATACATTGAAAATTTATTGGAATCTCAGGCAGAGTCATGGTGGGGGCGGCTTGAGGACAATGTGCCAACATCCGAGTTCGGAATCCTCTCGCTTTTGCCAAGCAAAAGTGAGCAGATGTTCAATCACCTTTGATTCGTTCGAGGCCCAAAGACCAGGGTGGACGCGGTGTGAAGAAAGGGTCAGTGACTCAAAGCCGATGAAAAAAGGGTCAGGTCTGTTGGTCTCTTGGTTGATAAAATGAAACACCTCCCCTGCGAATAGCCCCGCTGTGAAGACCCTAGTGGTAAGCCTGTAGTGAAGGAAACCAATGGAGCACAAACTAACTGCGCCTGACTCGTAGACTGAACTCTTTTTGCATGGCCTCATTCTTCTTTGCCAAGGGCTTGCAAAGACACCCCACTACACCCGCGACATGCCGATCGAGCCACTTGGCCGAGAGATGTCCTTGTCGTCTTCGTCGTTCGTCGCTTTCGCGACTCTCACAGGTGCTCGATTTGATGCTCCGACTCATGGATGCGATGCAGGAGACGGATCGACCATGTGACGGAGATAGAGAGTCCAGGGAGAGTTGGGAGCACGACAGATGAAGGAGCTTCTCCTCGTACCAAGAAGAGGAAGAAGTCGCCAGCTCCCAAGATTGATGAGGTTGGCATGAAGCTCAAGTGAGTGAAGAAGCTTCTCGAAGAGGAGAAGATCCACCAATAAAACTTGGCCACACTGCTACACCTTAGGTACCAAGTGACAGTTTGTAACGTTCTTCACATCCCTCGCTTTGGGATCAAAATCGATTGCTCAACAAGGTCAAGAGTTTTGCGTCTGCATCTCTCCAGAGAAGGAAATGGTTGAGGTGCGAAGCGTGGAATCGTGGAAGACAATTCTACCTATGTTGCCTGTGTGACTATGCGTGGCAGGAAGCAGAGATGATGGGCAGAAATGCTGTGTTGGGATCCGATCGATTTCTCTTGTCCAAGCAGCTTTATGTTGACATTGACGCGTCACGCGACACTTTCGATTTGCTTCAGTCTTTTTCGAGGCTGAAGCTGCTGGCACGCTTGCACAAGGCCGTCGAGGTTGGGAGAACAACAACCTATACGCGACGCACAAGCTGCGCGAGCGACCCGTGCATGGGAGGACCTCAAAGCAGCAGGTATGCCAGCGAACGAGGCCTGAGCACAGACATGCTGACCACGGACAGAATCAGACCTTTGCAACCATTTGATTTGAGGGTTGCAGAACCTAGACAGCTGATGCACGCCCACATCTACCAACACACTTTAGGGATCTTTAGGGTGTGAACTGAATAAGAACACAGACGGAGTTCTTTCAGTATCGTTCTTCCTCCTTTCCTGCCCTGGTGAGCCTGATTAGACCTTTTTGGCCAGGCAAGTCGCATCAATCAGTACAACATGTTCCTGTTTAGAAGCTTTGAGAAGCTGTGGAGTGACTTGGCAAGTGCAAGTATCTCTGTGAGAGAATATATTGGCCTCAGACGCACTTATCACGAAAGCCAGCCGGTAGGCAAGGCTTGAGTTCTTAGGGTGAACGAAGTGCATATTGGGGGTGTGGGGGGGGTGGTCGCACTCGGGCAGATTTTGGAGGGCGAACCCTGAGCCTGGTGGGGGAGAGCGAAAAAAGTAGGGTCAGGAAAGCATCAAAAAAACGGTTTGATGATGCAGTCATGGTGGGAATCACTGGAAATGTCAGAAGATAGTCATGATGGGATAACTCGAAATAACTAAGTGATATTTTTTCTTCTGTGACCATGTGTGGAAGACTTCAACACGATGCCCGAAATATCGCCGATCACCGCGAAAAACACATATTTCGGGCATCGCTGTTTTTTGTCGTGTTGGCTCACGTATTGTTGCTTCTCAGCTCCTTGCACCTTTCACCCGGACAATTGGTGGGGATCATTGGAAATGTCAGCAGATAGTCATGGTGGGGATCACTCGAAATAACAAAGTGATTTTTTTCTGTGGCCGTCATTAGCAGAATGCTGCGTGTGCGCGATGGCTGCGCGCACGCTAAAAAAGTCCGTGCGCTTTTGCTGGCTTTCGTCCTCTCCTTTCTCAGGTTCTTTGTCATCTCGGTTTTTCGCATGTTATTCTATGCCTTTGGTCATGAATCGAATTAATTGCGTCCTTTTAGGGTAGTGGTATGATTTTTACAACTTTATACACATACAGTCACATACAGAACATAGCTGCACACACACAGACAGAGATATGAATTAGTTTCCTGCAGCGAAGATGTGGTGGGTAGTAGCACAGAGGAAGAGGGAGTATCTTGACAAAGCCGCTCAAACTCCTCAGTGGTCTGCCTGGTAGCTCCGAAAGCTGCAATAAATGTTCGACTTTCGGAAGGCTTTGTATTTCTCTTGGTTGACAAGTATTTGGCAACTATATACTACCGCAGTATCAGCCGTGTCTCAGTACGTCGCTTGTAGATGAAACCTTTACAATGTATCTCTCTCTCTCTATATATATATATATATTCGGGATAATATATAGGAACAAAACCATTTCTCATGTTTGACTTGGGGTTCACGAGGACTTTATACAACATCTTTCTGCGTGACCCCTCGTGTTTGGTTTGCAAAACAGTCGCAGTTTGATGTTGGTGCACTAACTCTGCCATACGCTGCCCATTATGTGGCACATCAACGCATACATGAGTTCAACAGCTACTCCTGCAAAGCATGTTCCAATTGGCAGCAGGAGGGGTGCAAGAAGAGGACACACCTCGGACCGCAGGGACAAGAAACATTGAGTGTCCTACCTTTCGGAAGGGTAGTTTTTGGACAATAGCCAACTCTACAGCTCTACAAAATACAGCTTTGGACCCCACAAGGTTCCGCTTCCGGTTCGGCGGACTTCACCGGTGCGAGCACCAAGATGCGTAGATCCACTGATCTTTGCGTCCAAGGCTTCAAAACCTACAGAACACCAACAACATTGAGATCAGTGTGCCGAGCCACGGACTCAGCAATTTCAGCTATCTGTGATTGCGGGCTATCGCACAGGCTCCACTTGTTTTGATTCATGTCATCTTAGGTCAATATCCAGATTATGCCGTTCTTCTTTGGGTGTTTTGGCTGCAAGCACTCTTGCCTGATGTGTCACAGATCATTCCGAACCCGTCTGAGGGTATTTTTCAGCTTCGTTTTTGCCTTTCAGCTTCGTTCAGTTTCGTGACTTAGGGTTCTTTGACGTTTGTATCCGTGGAGCAGTTGTTGGTTTCTTTTCTCAGCCCTTAGCTCCGGGTTTGGAGCTGGACTTGATTGACATCTGGTATTATTGCAACGGCGATACGAACTTGCTGTAGAATGCAGGCCATACTACGTGCACTTGGCCAGAAGTCTGCAGCTGAGTCATTTCTTGGACCAGCTCATTGCAATAGGTATATAAGATATCAAAACACTAGCCATGAGAAGCTCGGCCAAGATGAAGACGGCGACATTGTACGTGGACGGCTGATATTTGCTTGCTTGTTCTCATGTGAGCCTAGCCTGTTTGAGCACTCTTTGGTTTGCTTGCTTCCTTAGCCTCTGGCACTAAATTTCGCTGCTGGCCCAACATTCAGCCCTCGTGACACTCACTCTGGCATCCCCTGACACCATGGTGGGCCATGTGTCTATTTGTTCGACATGGCAGGCCTTCTTTCAACGACGCTGGTCGCACTTCTGAACGTGGCGACTGGGCAAGGACTTGAAGCTGCCCAAATTGCCATGCATTGCTTCGGGCATCTTTGGGCAAAGGCGATAGCATTGGAGAACCCCTTCAGGCCTGGCCTGGATTGTCGAACCATTAATTCAGCAAAGCATTTGAAGGCAGACCGTGAAGCACAGTGAAATGCCCAAAGGCCGGGGTTGGACACCCTCCGAATACAGGAGGAGTTCTATCTCTGCCGAGAGGTGGGAGAGGGAAATCCAGCTCAGACGAAGTGATGGAGTCTTTCATGCCACCGCGTCATGCAGCAAATGTATTTCAACCTAATAGCAATGGCCTCCAACCTACTAGCGATGGCCTCGAACCTAACAGCAATGGCCACCAACCGTGTCATGTATTTCTGCCACCGAGGCAATACTCACAGTCGCACGGGAAGCCGAGGACGCCCATTTGGCCCAAGACAGCACTCTCCACTGGACCTGCATGTGTTGGACTGGACCTTCGTCAGGAAACTTGGCATCAAAAGATAGAATTCGAGTGGGAGGCGCTGTGATTTAGTCATGTGCTTTTGCTTCTTTCTCTTCTGAAAAACGTTGCGTCCGCCTCTCTGGCCACGGTGTGCATTTTTTTGCTCAGATTTTGAACGATGAGTCGCATGAGAGCAAGCATCTCAGAGTCGCATGAGTCGATTCTAGGTTTTGCAAAGACGGTGTGATGTCACCACAACAGCATAGCAAGTTGCGGCCCAGGCGCCAGCGATGAATCTGCCTGCTGATGTCGATTCATAGTTGATTGAGCGAATGAGCACAAGACTCTGACAGCTGCTGATGCGTGAAAATATGTGAAAATCATTTCAGAAGATGTCTTGCCTTGCCAATGGTTCTTTCTCGCAGGTCGGTGACTTGTGACTCTTGAAACACCTCTTGAGAGGCTTTACCGATCCTGGAAAGTCGAGCAGCTCAACTCTTTGGCAGGCTGTGAGATAGAACTGCCAGCACTTGTCCTTTTGGTGAACTAACGTCGTCTCACTGCCTTTCCTTTCGTCGCACTGCAGTCGTCTCATCATCCTGGATCAAATACGGGCGCTGGACTTCTTCACGAGTGCCTTGGAGGTGCCCAGCTCAGCTGTGAAGCATGTCATTTGTGCCGAAATCGATGCCTCTCGTGTGGAGGAAGCCTACAGATCTGCGATCCAACCAGTGGTGGCCAGGCACTTCCGAGCTATCTTGTGATAGCAGCAAGGACGCTACAAGCAGTTCCCTGGCAAGCCGGCGGCGGAAGTTTCCTATAAAAACAATTTGACCTATAGGAGTGTCCCTGCGCACATGCCCTGCGGACCCCCTTTTTTCCCGGCCCACAACGATGGCGTCATGTAAGCAGCCCACAACGGCGTAGTCGCTCTGGCGCTGTGCATGCGGGTCACACCACCACACGTCGGAGTGAATGTAGTTACACAGGACTCCAAATTTGCATGTACAACCTGTCATACATGCGCAACCAGAGTCTCAATAATAAATGCAACCAAAGACTGTGAGTATGAACTGTGCCAAAACCTTCAACCATAAGTACAAGCTGACCTGTTAACAAACTAGACTTGTGAGTTTGAGGTAGGCCACAAAAATATGATTTAACTTATTTTCTTTTATGATTTTGTTATGTTTTTTACGTTTTCCTTATGATTTGGTTACGATTGACTTTATGATGTTTTATGATTTTTTGGTGGGCTTGTTTTTTGGATATGATTTGCTTATGGTTTCGTTATGCTCTTTGAGGTCTGCAATTTCACATATACAGAGCCTTTTGGGTTGCAAAACATGGTAGTTGAGATGTGTGTTCAGCCAAACTTGTGGTGTATTTTCACAAGATTTCCTCTGCTACAAAGAAAGAAAATACATTTTTCAGAAAAACATGGTAAACTGCGAAAAATCTTTGTTATTCTGCAAGTCTCTTGATCCGTTTTCTGGTTGGTTTTAAATGCAACTAAAAACTACTCAGGAATAGAATAGTCTCTATTGTATGATGGGTTTTGAGAACTAACTAATGACTAGTGACTAGTGTTCCCAAAGGAACCTCTTCACTAATGAAGGCAGAGAGGAGTTGGCCTTCATACATGAGTTCCCACCTTTCCTAGAACAGCACACCTGGGTCTAGTGCACACCTTGGCCTAGGGCCTAGGACAGTAGGTTCTATACTAGGCCCTAGGCCCTAAACTACCCATCCACCCATGGCCTGGGACCTAGGAACTGCAAGCAACCCATATCTCAGAACCATTGGTCGTCTGAAAGCATAACAAAAACATAAGAAATCCATAAGGCCACGCAAAACAAAATCATATCAAAAGCATATCAAAATCATAAAAACATGGGTCTGGGAATTAGTTTTATGATTTTGTTATGATTTTGTTATGGTTTTGATATGGTGGGCTGCAGGTGGTCTCACCCTGCCTGGGTCACCTCAAAAATTTGACGCTTGAGGTTTAGGGTTCAGGCTTTAACCTTTGGCCTAGGACGCGCCTGGGGGAGTACACCTTTCCTTCGGGTCACTAGGACAGTACACCTTTCCTTCTCTACTACACACCTTTCCTTCGGGTCCTAGGCAGAAGGATTTGTAAGGCAATAGCTCAATAGCTACTAATAAGCTAATCAACAGAAAGGACGCCAAGCGTCCCTACGTTGCTTGGGCATGAGCATTGGGGTGCCTCCTTGGAATGTTCAACAACTTCCCTTCGCTAGTGAAGCTTACTTACTTAGTTTCTTAACCAAACCACTTTTTTTCAAGTATGCAAACATATTCGCACCATATTTGCACAACTATATGGCGATCTTTTAGAAGTACTCAAAAAACACTCTCAAACCATATCTTTTTCATAATACTTTTTTGGTGGCAGTTTAAAACCATAAGAAAATCATAAACATATTCATATCAAATTCAAGGGCTCCTTAACACGCATAAAAAAACCATAAAAAAACATAACCCACAGTGCATCAACATCATAACAAAATCATAACAAAATCACAAAAGAAAATAATCAATGAAATATTTATTTGGCACCAACCTAAAACTCACAAAACTAGACGACAGGGTGGCCCGAAAGCATAGTAGGAGTAAGCATTATAACGCAAGAGTTGCAAACGAAAACGAAACTGAGGGATGAACCGTTTGTCAGTTTGTAGTACAAATGTAGTACGGGAAAGAGCTTGTCGGAGCTGGACTCAGAAGTGGCCAGTTAGTAGTACAATGTAGTGACAATGTAGTGCGGGAAACAGCGTTGCGGAGCTGGACTCAGAAGCGTTTGCTTTTAGTCTGTGACAGACGGTGTGGCGAAACTACGATGTCGCTGTGCCACGTGGATTTGCGCGGCCTTGGTGGAAAGTGCGTTCGCGGCACCGTGCCACTGGGGAGCGCGAAACACACTGGCGTAAACGCGGCGTGTCGCTGGTGAGCGGGATGATTGGCGGTATCATGTGATATGTTTGCTTCTAGTGTGTGGGCAGACAGTGTGGCGAAATTGGGTTCGTGATGTCGCAGTGCCACGCGGACTTGCGCGGCCTTGGTGGGGCGTGCGTTTTGCGCGGCGCCGTGCCACTGGGGAGCGCGAAACATGCTGGTGTAAACGCGGCGTGTCGCTGGTGAGCGGGATGATTGATGGTTACCGGCCACTTCTGAGTCCAGCTCCGAAAAGCTCTTTCCCGTACTACATTTGTACTACAAACTGGCCACTTCTGAGTCCAGCTCCGAAAAGCTCTTTCCCGTACTACATTTGTACTACAATCTGGCCACTTCTGAGTCCAGCTTCGAAAAGCTCTTTCCCGTTTTAAATTTGTACTTCAAACTGGCCACTTCTAAGTCCAGCTCCGAAAACCTCTTTCCCGTACTACATGTGCACTACAAACTGGCCACTTCTGAGTCCAGCTCTGAAAAGCTCTTTCCCGTACTACATCTGTATTACAAACTGGCCACTTCTCAGTCCAGCTCCGAAAGGCTCACCTTTCCCGTACTAGATTTGTACTACAAACTTCTGAGTCCAACGCCGAGGTTCACAAAGTACTGCGCCTGCCACGAAATCTGCACTTCGAGGTTCACCAAGCGCTGTACCTGCCACGAAATCTGCACTTCGAGGTTCACTAAGTGCTGCGCCTGCCACGAAATCTGCACTTCGAGGTTCAGAAAGTGCTGCGCCTGCCACGAAATCTGCACTTCGAGGTTCACCAAGCGCTGCGCTTGCCACGGTATCTGCACTCCGAGGTTCACCAAGTGCTGTGCCTGCCACGAAATCTCCACTGCGAGGTTCACAAAGTGCTGCGCCTTCCAGGAAATCTGCACTTCGAGGTTCACCAAGTGCTGCGCTTGCCACGAAATCTGCACTTCGAGGTTCACAAATTGCTGTGCCTGCCACGGAATCTGCACTTCGAGGTTCACGTGGGCCCTCCCCTAAATTATTATTCAGGGGTGCTCGTGACAGGAATAGTTTTTTTTGAATATTTTTCTCGAATGCTCATCAGGAATAATTTGCTTGGGGTCCCTGTGCCAGGGGGGTGGGGGTCACCTCAGATTATATAATAATCACAACTAACCTCGACGCTAAGTAATTTGAAATAATTGTGCCAGAGATGTGCCAGTCACAATGGAATATTTCTTTGCAAAGACTGGCCATGAGCTGCGTTGCGCCTGAGATGTGTGTGTATCCACGAGAGATGCTGGCTAAATCAATCACACTTCAATTATATATGTATACATGAAGAAAAGGCCTTGACCTCCACCTCACTCAGGTTTCATGTGCACAGGTAACATCAGGTAACGCATCCTGTCAGGAGTGCATAGATCAAACTGCTCTGAGAATATTCACACTTTCCAGGTCGACATCGCTCGCATCGACTGTGAGTTAATTATTCCTGGGCACCTGGAGGTGGCAGGCGCCCAGGAATAATCTGTATTGAGACCACATGGTGGAAAGGCAGGTGCTTCCAACAACTTTCCAACATGAATTTAGACTCGACAGCTGAAATTATTCCTACTCTACCCCAGTACCCTGGAATAATAATTGTTGGGTATGTACCCCTACCCCAGAATAGATAATTTTATATTTCAGGGTGACACCAACGTGGTCCCTTACCATGAGAGCCCCCATAAGTTCACCAAGTCGTGTGCCTGCCACGAAATCTGCACTTCGAGGTTTATGAAGTGGTGTGCCTGCCACGAAATCTGCACTGCGAGGTTCGCAAAGTGCTGTGCCTGCCACGAAATCTGCACTTCGAGGTTCACCAAGTCCTGTACCTGCCACGAAATCTGCTCTTCGAGGTTCGCCCAGTGCTGTGCCTGCCACGACATTTGCAAACGAGCCATATGTCCAAAAGTCACGATTCACTGCACCTGTCACAAAATCTGAGCTCCTCGACGATCACCACCAGCATGTCCAAAGTACTGCGCCTGCCACGAAAACTGCTTTTCGAAGTAAAACAGCTCCGATCCCTTGCACCTGTCACGAAAAGTCGACTTTGAAGCACCAATACACGAGGTTTCCCCTGCGCCTGCCACGAAAAGTGACCACCATGTGCGAAAACGCGCACGGCGCCACAACGGGAGCGCAGTCGTTAGATGCACCCGCCCGGGGCACCCAGACTGTGTGAGCCTGTGCAGTCGAAATGCGCACAAGACACAGGTGAACTAGTTACAATGGAGGGACTGCGAGGCCATTCCGCAACCGTCGTTCCGCAGAGCTAGCCTTGCCAGGTTCGGAACCACCCTTTGTTTTCAAAAAACACCGCATTTCGTGCGTCCGCTATCTCTCGAACACGCATTTTGCACGAGACTTCCTTCCAAAATGCATGTTGAAGAGTGAAGCTAGAGCTAACTAGAGCGAGATCCACCTGGCGCTAAAGCAAACCAGAGCTACAGCTGACTGGAGTTAGAGCAAACTAAAGCTAGAGCTGACTGGAGCTAAAGCTGAGTAGTAGTAGTAGTAGTAGTAGTAGTAGTAGTACCTACTACCTACTACCTACCACCTACCACCTACCACCTACTACCTCCTACCTCCTACCTGCTACCTCCTACCTACATGCTACATCCTACATCCTACATGCTACATACTACTAACTACTACTACTACTACTACTACTACTACTACTACTACTACTACTAC